TGTATGCCTTGGAGTTATCTGTATGCCTTGGAGTTATCTGTATGCCCATGGATTTATCTATATGCCCATGGAGTTATCTGTATGCCGTGGAGTTATCTGTATGCCCGTTGAGTTATCTGAATGCCCGTGGAGTTATCTGTACGCCTGTGGAGTTATCTGTATGCTCGTGGAGTTATCTGTACGCCGTGGAGTTATCTGAATGCCCCTGGAGATATCTATGCCATGGAGTTATCTGTATGCCTGTGGAGTTATCTGTATGCCCGTGGAGTTATCTGAATGCCCATGGAGATATCTGTATGCCTTGGAGTTATCTGAATGCCCATGGAGTTATCTGTTTATGCCTGTGGATTATCTGTACGCCCTTGGAGTAATCTGTATGCCCTTGGAGTTATCTGTATGCCCGTGGAGTTATCTGAATGCCTTGGAGTTATCTGTATGCCGTGGAGTTATCTGAATCCCCATGGAGTTATCTGAATGCCCTTTGAGTTATCTGAATGCCTGTGGAGATATCTGTATGCCCGTGGAGCTATCTGTATGCCCGTGGAGTTATCTGAATGCCCTTTGAGTTATCTTTACGCCGTGGAGTTATCTGTATGCCGTGGAGTTATCTGTATGCCTTGGAGTTATCTGTATGCCCGTGGAGTTATCTGAATGCCCTTTGAGTTATCTGTACGCCGTGGAGTTATCTGTATGCCGTGGAGTTATCTGTATGCCCTTGGAGTTATCTGTATGCCCATGGAGTTATCTGAATGCCCATTAAGTTATCTGAATGCCCTTGGAGTTATCTGTACGCCCTTGGAGTTATCTGTACGCCGTGGAGTTATCTGAATGCCCCTGGAGATATCTATGCCATGGAGTTATCTGTATGCCCGTGGAGTTATCTGAATGCCCATGGAGATATCTGTATGCCTTGGAGTTATCTGTATGCCCGTGGAGTTATCTGAATGCCCTGAGAGCTATTTATATGCCCAGAGACTAAGATTGATTTGATTTATAGGGTTGAGCATCCTTTTAACAGCTACAGTCATTTCAGGACATGCCTCCATGTGTGTAATGTATGTGTGATTGCTTGAGGTGGTGTGTTGGTTCAGAGTGCTACCTCACTGAAGAACCATGACAAAGGCACCAAGCACACTCTTCCAAATGATCCCATAATACAGGCAACGCGCAAAACAGTGGCTGCTCTTACCCTCAAAGCTGAACATGTAGCAGTAAATGGCAACTACTATTTTGAGAGGCTTTGTTTTGTCTTGGCTCGGGGACTAAGGACAGAACCCATTGCCCTCCTCTTAGTGAGAAACAATCTGCAATGTAGCCAAATCTGACGTGGTCCCAAGGGAAGCATCATTAAGTTTAAAGATTGAGAATAGATGATAAGAAAAGATAAGATCCCACCCGTTACTATTGGGTAAGTTACACACATTATTGCTGCCAATGTTCCATTATACACTTGTTATATCAGTGGTACTTAGGAAAGTCCCTGGTATAAAAGTAATGCTGTCTATATGCCCTGGAAGATGTCTATATAATCTGGGTGATGTCTATATGCCCTGGGAGATGTCTATATAACCTGGGAGATGTATATATGCCCATGGAGATGTCTATATGCCCTGGAAGATGTCTATATGCCCTGGGAGATGTCTATATAACCTGGGAGATGTCTATATGCCCTTGGAGTGGTGTCTATATGCCCTGGGAGATTTCTTTATGCCCTGGGAGATGTCTATATAACCTGGGAGATGTCTATATGCCCTGGGAGATGTCTATATAACCTGGGAGATGTCTATATGCCCTGAGTGATGTCTATATGCCCTGGGAGATGTCTATATGCCCTGGGAGGTGTCGATATGGCCTGTCAGCTATTTTATATAGCCAGAGAGTTTCCTGAACTTACTCCACTGCATTTGCTACACTTCTGTGCGAACTGATCCTCGTAGCAGGGCACGCACACCACCTCCTGGTCGCGTGGGATGAAGCTCTTGTTCCTGATTGGCTCCTTGCACACCATGCAGCAGAAGCACTCCTCATGCCACTGTTTACCGCGGTACTCAAACTTCTTCATGCCTGTAACACATGTCGCAGAATGTGAGGGGACAACAAAAGTATACACAATACAGCTATTAATTGGCTAACAACAAGAATGAAAGTTCTGTTGATCAATGAAATAATACTGCCTAAAAAAGTTGATAACGTTTGTACGACTTTAGACAGATGGTGAGTGGAGATGGTGCTTATCCCTCTGTTTCTGTTTTTGTGTGTGACGAAAGGAGTATACACTTTTGATAGTTTACTTGCCAGCCTGTTGGTATTGCCTAGTTTGTGTATTTAGATAGACAGGAAGAATGACAGAAAGTGTCTTGTTCAAGGGCTCAAAAGACAAGGTGTCAACAGCAGGAGTTGAACTCTGACCTTTCAGCCAGAAGCAAAACATTCTGCTGTAAAGCCATTTGTCCCCGAGAGTAACACACACATGGTGTTATATAACTTCCTACACCATTATCATACACACAAATGGTGTTATATAAGTTCCTACACCATTATCATACATACACATGGTGTTATATAACTTCCTACACCATTATCATACACACAAATGGTGTTATATAACTTCCTACACCATTATCATACACACACATGGTGTTATATAACTTCCTACACCATTATCATTCACACACACACATGGTGTTATATAACTTCCTACATCATTATCATACACACACATGGTGTTATATAAGTTCCTCCACCATTATCATACACACACATGGTGTTATATAAGTTCCTACACGATTATCATACACACACATGGTGTTATATAAGTTCCTACACCATTATCATACATACACATGGTGTTATATAACTTCCTACACCATTATCATTCACACACACACATGGTGTTATATAACTTCCTACACCATTATCATACACACACATGGTGTTATATAAGTTCCTACACGATTATCATACACACACATGGTGTTATATAGGTTCCTACACCATTATCATACA